TAGATTGGGAGACTAGTTTGGAGAATTATTTTAAGTGAAAACCAATGGCAAAAACTAGAAAGGTGCCATTTGGGAAACTTAAATTGAAGGAAACTGCACTTCAATGGTGGAAGAGAGTTGAAGAGCAGCAAGCAAAACAGGAAAAAGCAAAAATCAGCACATGGGATCACATGAAAGCAAAAATGAGGAAACAATTTCTGCCTGCTGATGATGCAATGGAGATATATGAGAGATTCCACTCTTTGAAGCAAAATAGCAAGACTGTAGAAGAGTACACTGCAGAATTTAATAATTTATCTATAAGGGTTGGCTTGAATGAGACAAATGAACAAATGACAGCCTGATATCTTGCTGGTTTGAACCAATCTATTAGGGAGGAGATGGGAGTAGTTCATCTCTTCAACCTTGAAGATGGTCAACAATATGCCTTAATGGCAGAAAAATGGGTATTACATTATGATGCTAGGAGGTCAATGTTTGGTAGAACCGGTGGCAATTCACAAAGTGCTAGTGATATTATTTGGGGAGCTAGAAGTGATCAAACAGCCCTAAGAAGTGGACAAGGGAGTGGCCCACATGGCACAAAAACTGGAGAGAGTGCAACTCAATTTGAAAGAAATGAGAAAGAAAAGAATGTTGTTAGATTTGGACAGCAAAACAGTGTTGGATTGGATATTCAAAATTTCACTTGTGATTAAAGAGGACATAGTTCTTATGCATGCCCACACAGGAGAATTAACCTCATTGAAGAGGAAGAAGGAGACGAGGCACTAGAACTTGTTCATGATGATAATGTTGATGAGGTTAGTGTAGTAGATGTTTACCCTATTGTAGGGGAGTCATTGGTTGTTCTTAGAATGATGACAACCAAAGTCTCAAATGAACGAGAGGACTTGAGGCGACGCAGCATCTTTAGGACTCTTGTCCTATGTGAAGGCAAGGTCTGCAGCTTGATTATTGACAGAGGCAACATGAAAAATGTTACTTCCAATGATGCAGTGGAGAAATTGAAGCTGCAAACTGAAAAATATCTCCATCCCTACAAGATCAGGTGGCTTAAGAAAGGTAATGAAGTTCCGGTTATGTCAAGGCGACTTGCCAAGTTTGTCATGGGTCATAACTTAGAAGATGAAGCCTTTTGTGACATTGTGCCTATGGATGTTGGCCACAATCTTTTGGGAAGACCTTGGTTATATGATAATAATGTGGAACATCGTGCTAAACCTAATACCTATTCATTTTATAGGAGGAACAAGAAGTATACACTTCATCCCCTTGAGGAAGACTTGGCTGAAGCTTCTCATCCACCTAAGAGTGGCAAGATCAAGGGAGTTCTTTTTGCTGCAAAATTTGAGGAAGATAGTAAGGAAATGGGAGTCATGTATGCTTTGGTCAACAAGGTTGTACAGGCTAGCCAAGTCAAAGATTTAGATGAGCATACAGCTGAAATTAAGTAGCTATTGAAAGAATTTGCAAAACTGGTTGCTGATGAATTACCATGACGATTATTGCCAAAGGAAAACATCCAACATGCCATTGACTTGGGTACCAAAAGCAAGCTTACCGAATATGCCAGCCTAAAGGATGCCACCTGCATGGTGAAAGAAGGTACAAAAACAAGTGGAAGAGTTGTTGAATAAAGGTCTAATACATGACAGCAAAAGTCCATGTGCTTGTCCAGCTTTGCTTGCTCCAAAGAAAGACGGTATTTGGAGAATGTGCGTGGACAGCCGAGTTATCAATAAGATCACGATTAAGCATCATTTTCCCATTCCTCGATTGGAAGAAATGCTTGTTCGACTAGCTGGTGCAAAGGCATTGTCAAAGATTGATCTAAGAAGTGGTTATCACCAAATCTGATTGAGGGAAGGAGATGAATGGAAGACTACTTTTAAAACACTAGATGGGCTATATGAGTATTTAGAGATGCCCTTTGGCCTATCCAATGCTCCAAGCACATTCATGTGAGTCATGTCTGAGATATTGAAGTCTTTTTAGAAGTCATTTGTTATTGTTTATTTTGATGATATTTTGCTTTACAGTAAGCCCAAGGAAGAACATTTAATTCATTTGCATAAAGTGTTAGGAACACTCCATAGTGAAAAGCTCTTTATAAACCCATAAAAGTGCTCCTACCTGAGCTATGAAGTCGTATTTCTAGGTTTATTGTTTCAGCTCAGGGACTGAAACCAGATCTTGGAAAAATATGTGCTATTAAAGAGTGGCTAGTTCCTCAAATAATCAAAGATATTCAAAGTTTCCATGGTCTAGCTTCATTTTATAGGAGATTCATCAAGAATTTTAGCTCTATTATGAGCCCATTACTGAATGCTTAAAGAGCAATATCTTTAATTTGACAAAATCTGCACAAAGAGCTTTTGAACATATTAAAACCCTTATGACAGAAGCACCAGTACTTGTGCTGCCAAACTTCGACAAGCTGTTTGTTGTAGAGTGTGATGCATCCCATTAGGGCATTGGGGCAGTACTCAGTCAAGAAGAAAAACCAGTGGAGTGTATGTATTCGACTTATGACCTCAAGTTTTATGCAGTAGTGCGAGCTATTCAACATTGGAAGTATTACCTAGCTTACTGGGAGTTTGTTGTTTATTCCGACCACCAAGCATTGCGCTATCTGAGTTCCAAGAAGAAGCTTAGCGAGCGTCATGTTTTCAACTTTACGCTCAAATACAAAACTGGAGAATCTAACATGGTGGCTGATACATTAAGTAGGTGCTTTATGCTCTCGGTTGTGATGAGCACTCAAGTTACAAGTTTTGAAGAAATAAAATATCACTACAAAACTGATCCTCACTTCTATCATATAGTGGGAGAATTGCAGAGGTCAATTGGTGCCAAAAAAATACCTTTCTAGTTACATGAGGGATATTTATATAAAGGTAACAAACTATACATTCCAGAGGGGTCTTTACGAGAGTAGATCATCAAAGAACTCCATGGGAATGATTTGGGAGGACATTTTGGTAGGGATAGAATTGTGGAAATGGCGGTAGATCGCTATTATTGGCCCAAGATGTTTAAGGATGCGGACAGATTAGTGAAGAGATGATCAACTTGTCAATTTGGCAAGGGGAACTCACAAATACAGGGTTATAGCCTGAACCAAAAGTGCCATGAATTCATCTGAGCATGGATTTTATTTTGGGTGTTCCAAAGACCTCAAAGGGGCATGGCCCCATTTTTGTTATGGTAGATCGATTTTCAAAGATGGCACACTTCATTCCATACTCTAAAACTGCTGATGCTTCTCATATTGCTGAGTTGTTTTTTCATGAAATGGAAAGACTACATGGTGTTCCTGCTTCTATTGTTTCCGATAGGGATGTCAAATTCAAATTCATGGGGCACTTTTGGAGATCTTTGTGGAGGAAACTTGTGACTCACTTTCAGTATTTTAGTGCTTGCTATCCACAAATTGAAGGTCAAATGGAAGCAATAAATTGAAGCTTGGGAAATTTGTTACGGTGTCTTGCTGTTAATCATGTAAAGTCTTGGGATTTTGTTATACCACAAGGAGAATTTGCTTACAACAATTCAGTGAATCAGACAATAAAAAAGACTCCATTTAAAGCTGCATATGGTTTAAAGCCACAACATCTGCTTGATTTAGTAGGAAATTTTATTGTCTTTTTAAAGCTGCATATGGTTTAAAGCTGCACCATATTCTTTGGTAGGAAATTTTGTTTGTTCAGCCACATCATATGTCTCTTTTTTCCAGAAATGACGAACATGAATCTAAATTACCGTAACACCAGAAGGTTTTTCTAAGTTAGGTTCCTCGTAAGAATTGTATAACATGGTTAAACCATTGACTATCTTTGAACTAATTCAAATTAATGAAGAATCCAAAGAAAATAAACTAAAGCCCTCTAAAAACATAAAGGTCTTGGCCTGGGTCCATCCTGACATAGGTTCCCCCAGCATCAACAGTTGCCTGGATTGAAAAATTCAAACAACAGAAGCATGACTGGGTGATCACGTTATATTTTAATAGTGCTAATCAACAGAAAATCTTAAATTGATTGTGTCAACCCTTTACTCGCTTCCGCTTCTCACTGCAGCAAATTCAGTTTTTACTAATTAGATACATTTCATACTTGCTTCTATTTTTCGTTCCACGAAATAAAAGTTGGGCTACTTGCAAGACAACTGAAAGTGGTACAATGGCATTGATATTACTGGACGACAAAGTGCTAAAGTAATCACAGATGTAAAACCTAGAGGAAGCCAAAATTTATCCACCCAACACTTGTAATAACATATCAATATCTGTTAAATTTGGAAGCATAAATAATGAATCATAATGTATCTCTTTTCTTCTATGTGTCTTCTGTGTCTCTAAATTTCTTGCACACTAGACAAAGACAATAGCAACTGACAAATATTACTATAAACCCATTCTTTCTCAAACAACTGATCAAGATGACGGTTAGCATACAAATATTCTTCCAAGTTGACTATCCAACCCTACAATCCCTCCCTTCCCCCTCCTCCCACACCCAACAACCAGAAAAATAAAATAAATAATAAATTTGAATTAGAATAACAAAATTTATATGGATAACAAATTACTAATAATAATTCAACAAAAACTATAGAACCAATAGAAAAGAATAGACTGATAGCAAGTAAAATAATGCTGCTGATTGTAGGAATGAAGAGAGAGACAATGTGAAACCAAGATATGCACACATATACACACACACACACAAACACTAGATACGAAAGGATTTCCCTTGAATTCACTATAAATATTCATAAAAAGAAAATGGGAAATACACAGGAACGTTTCTATCAAAGAAAAGTAACCCCTCCAAAAACCAAAAAAGAGAATAATAACAATATTATACCATAATAGTTAAGGTAGAAAATTATCATCCTCGATCCAGATAATGGGAACAAGAATAGTTAAGGTAGAAAAATTGTCATCCTCAAGCCAGAAAATGGAAACAAGCAAAATAACAGTTACAGTAGAAAAATTAATATCCCGGACCCAGATATCTGGAACAGGTAATCTGAATAGAAGACAAATAAAATCCCAGCTAATGATAGGATCGTAGGACAAACTAACTCACCAACAGACCCATTTTTTATCAGAAGTCCATTTTATTTGTCATATAAAACACAACGAAATATGCAGCTCAATGCTATTACCAGTATCAGGGGATTTTTGCCGTTATTTGCAGAATTGGATGGCAGAGAATTGCTCATAGTATTTTGAGATTTTGTCTCCATTGTCAGCATCTTCAATGATATTTCTCTCAAGTAATCAGACTGCAATTAGAGGTCAAGAACATATTTTGTGCAAGCAATTCATGACTATTAGAAACAATCATTGCTGTCACATAGAGTCAATACAGAACTTTCTTTTCCAGGTGTAATCAACAACTTATATATCTGCAGAAAACAAACAAATGGCCTAATACAAACAAATATTTTCCAAGAACTCAAAACTGCCCGTATGCCGCACATACTTGGCTTGTGGCTGCAGTGAAGATTTCCTCCTCAAACCTTACTGCTATTTTCTCGAGTTCTTGAAGTCCTTCTTGTCCAGAAAAAGGAAGATGCCTCTTCAAAGTTTCGATTCTGCTCACATTGAATGTTACAAATTTAAATGGTTAATTGTCATGCAGCTACTAGGAAGATTATCCGTGGTTAAAAAGAAAGTGTTAACTCACATGGAATGTTAAAATTTAAATGGTCAATTGTCATGCAGGTACAAGAAAGATTATCCGTGGTTAACAAGAAATTGTTAAATTAATATACACTGATGGGCCGGTATCCTAACAGCTTAAGCTTTGAGGCTAATTGACAATCTTAATATCAAGTCACCAGCTCTAGGAGATCCTGGGTTTTTATCTTTTCATCAATGTTCACCACCATTACCTCAGTCATCGTGCACCTCCATTTTTTGCTCTTCAACTCATTCTCAATTGTCTCTTCACATGCAAGGTTCCACAAAAGCATGAGTCTTAACTTGTATTACATTACCGAGCATCTGGGCCTATGTCCTAACAGCTCAAGCTTTTTGGCAAGTAGTTATCCAAGAAAAATGAATTGGCAACTGCACTTCTGAAGCAACAAAAGGTTGCTTCACTCAAGGTACACAATCCAAAAGCACAGCAAACAAAACATGTCCTTATTTATTCTTTGTGCCTTCAAGCCATAGTACTCCCTGAAGTCCAAAATAATGAGTATTTAAAAAGTCCGGCATTAATCTCTTGTAGACCACATTATATATCAATCCATACTCTTTTAACTTGCAAAAAATAACATCAGAATAAAAACTTTGCCAAACTTTTAGGTGTTCACATAATGTAATAGTGCAACTCAAAAGCCTTAGAACCACAGCTCTGCAAAAGAGGAATATTTTCTTGCCTGTTACCATGCAAGTTCTGCACAGGTCAATATTGTGTACCTACTAAACAACTGATTATTCCAATGTTAACTAGCTGCCAACCCAGAATTAACAGAAATTACCAAAATTTAATTTCTAAACAACAAGAATTGAATGGACAGCTTAAGCTAGGGATAAGTAGAATACTACGACATCTGGAAGCCACTTTTATTTACAGCATTTTGTTTTTTCAAACATAGAAACCAAGTACGAGAAAATTATCACGTTAACACAATCAAAGTACTAGGACTAGGGATCAGGTCATTAAATACATTAATAGATGTATTCCATACTTTCCATTTTGCCATTCAGTTCTAGCCATTTCTGCACCTTCTAATCAACCTGAATATTGTGCACCTCTTTAGAAGGAAATAATTTGTTCACAAATATGATTTTCAGTACTCACAGTTTCATTATAACAACAACCTCAATGCAAATATATTGTATTTCTCAAGAAAAAAGGAGGCCATTACTATAAACGACCCTCTTTATACATTCTCCATTATTTTAGGTTTGAATCCCAATCCTTGAAATATCAGCTATCCACTTCTCATAGATGAGAATGCAATTAAATAAGTCAACCAATGTTTCCAAAAGACTGTATCCCACTCAGGTATACTGGAGTTCCTCAATATCTCTAACTTAAACCGACCAGTTTTGTTCATAAATATACAGAATTGTTGCAAAAGTAAAGAGTTCAACTGGAAATTTCCTGCCTCATAAAAGCAGTCCCGGTAAGCATTCAGAATTATAGGCCTATCATTGTATTGTTCCAAACTCCATTCTGAGAAAAGAACAATGCTTAAGATTTTTTTTTTTCTTTTAATGAAGATGAACTGATTTGAAAATCTTCGGATCAGCTCTGGAAAATGTTATAACTCTTCAGTGAAGAACTACTTATAATTAAAGTTCTTTAAGTCAACTACATCCGTGTACATTTGGATCATTTGTTAACTTTCCTTTTTATCTCTCTAAGCTCAATGGTCTAAAACTAATTTGTCTAGGAAAAATATTTTCTAGGTGGCTAAAGTTCAGTGGAAAATGCAACTTTGAGCTGAAGGAAGCCCTTAAAACTCTGTGAACTTGCTTGACCTTTTATCCATAAATTAGGTAATAGTGGATCGATTTCTCTTTGGTTTGATGATTGGCATCCACACGAACCCATTAATTTCATAGTTAAGGTATAGACTCATCCAAAGTTATTTATGGTGCATAGCGCACTATACGGCAAATGGTCCATAGCAACATAGCACATTGCAAATAGTGCTGCGCGTGGCTATTTGGTAAAATAGCACACATTATATAACAACAATATATAGCATAATACATTAAAAAAAATGGTCTCAATTAACATTAAAAGCTTAATATGTACTCAAAATACAAGCCATCCAACAATCATTCCCATATGTCAAACATGAAATGGCACATCAAACATAGTCTAAAACATAAAGTGATACATGAAAACAAAGTGATTTAAAACAATTAGTGATTTCAAGCAAATTTTATCACATTTAAGTTACTTTTCACACAAGGAGCACAACATCACAGTAAAATTGTTCCTCTAATCATCCTCTAACACTCTAACTTGTTGCATAAAAAGTTAAAACTTAAAACTTAAAACTTAAAACTATTGTCAACTTGCTAACTCACCCAAGAGAAGTATACAAAGAGCAAAGGAGAAAGGAGAGGGCTGTTTCGACACTCAACAAAGAGCAAAGGAGAGAGGTGAAGGATTCTGAGCCTCATGCAATGCTTGATCCAGAGCAAAAGAGAGAGGAGTAGGTTTTTAAGCATCTTGCGATGCTCAACAAAAAGCAAAGGAGAGGTCGAGGTCTTTGATGTGCTCGACAGAGAGGGTTTTGCGCTCGTCAAGCTCTTGCGATGCTCGATAGAGGGGTTCTTAGCTCAATGGGGTCTTGCAATGCTCAATAGAGATTGGATGGATCAATCATGACTCACGAAAGTGGCACTCAAGCTCGACGGGGTGTCGTGATGCTCAACACAGCAAGGATCGCTCAGTCGCGTGGCTTAACAGCTTCTAGGGCTCAATTGCATGAGTCGATGGAGGAGAAGTGAGGGGCTCGATCGAGAGGTTAGGGCTGGAGGCAACTGAAATACAAGGATTTATGTATTATTTTGGTCTTAAAATTGCCCTTCCCATTGTAGCACATGTAGCACGCCATAGCGAGGAAGATTATAGCACATATAGCGCACGCCATGGGTCACTAAGCTGAGGTTGCTATGCTATGCCTATTTTATAGCGCAACATGCTATAGCGCTCGCTATGGCACAACAGCGAGCATTACAGTACACTATAATAACTTTGGACTCATCTATGATGCAGACATTGGGAGAGCTGCTAATAATGCTACAACTGGAGATTGATAATGGTTCATCTTAATCAATGATTCAATGATGCTCTTCATACACTCTCTATTACCTAAGATTGGATCCCAGTCCTTCAAAAAGACAGCTATTCACCCATAGTATGGATGAGAATGCTATTAAACAAATGAACCAATGCTTCCAATTCCAGAAAAGCTCTATCCCAGCTAGGTATCTTAGAGCTCCTCAAAACTCTATTTGAAACTAAAAACTACCAATTGTTTTCATAGGTAGAGAGAATGGTTGAAAGGGTGAATAGTTTGACGGAAAAATTTCTATCTTGTGCTGGCATACTACAAGTCACCAAAGAAGTCCCTTCAGTATTAACAACTTCTAGGCCTATTATTCTATTCTTCCAAACTGCATTTGAGGAAAGAAAATGCCCAAGATTCTTCCCTTTTTTGGGAAAACTGGAAAGGAACTGATTTGAAAATCCTTGGAGCTAAAATAGCTTGGGAATCATGTTTGCAAAGCCTTCAATAAAGGACTTGGAATTAAAAATTTAGATGTTTGGAATAAGGCTGCTATATATAGATACATTTGGATCATTTATAACTGTCCTCTTTCTCTCTTTGGGCTAAATGCGCCAAGACTAATTTGCTTAATCATGCTAATCTCTAGGTGGCTAAAATTCCCAACAATGCAAATTCTTGTTGGAGGAATATTTTACAACTTAGTAATCTTGTTCAATCTCTAATCCTTCGATACGTAATAGCCAATAATTCTCTTTGGTGTCATAACTGCCATCCATGGAATTTCATTCATTCATGGTTAAGGGACAGACCCACCTATTGTGCAGGCATTGGGAGAAATACAACACATGCTAGAACTCTAGAGATTGAATGTCCTAGACCTTAGTGTAGCATTATGTCTCTCAAGCCCAGTCCTCACTCATTCAATAGCATAATCAAGAAGCCATTTTCACCAAAGGCTTCTGTATCAGATCAGCATGTGATGCTTCTAGAGTTTCTTATCCCAAACTCGTACGGGCAAATTTGATTCTATTTAAATTTGCTACTCTTAGGTACATCTTCATTCTTTGGCTCGCTATTAGGAGGAAAGCCTCTACCCAAGTTCATTGATGAAGAATTGGCCTAATTCTGCTTATTCAGTGCAATCTGCATGGTGTTTTTATTGAGAGTCAATATTATTTATTCAGTTGTTCTTTTACACACTGCAATTGGTTTGGTTTGTTTAAAAGGAAGGATCAGGACCCACCATCAGGTTCATGGAATCAAATAATTGGATGGGAATCGTTCAAACTCAAAGACAAGACACTTCCCAGCTATATCTACAGGTTTATTCTCTCATAATAAATTTACTTCATTTGATCTGAAAAGAACAAAGGCTATATCCATCTCCAATGTGATTAATAAGTATATTTGTTGGGATATTTCTCAGATGATCTCCATGCGCCTCTCTGAATCAGATCAGGTCTCTCGCAGAAAATTAATTGTCAATCACAAAAGCCATGGAAATTGTCCTCCTCGATTTTCTTGTAGCGTTTAACCCGAACAACGGCCTGTTTGATATGCATTTAAAGCTTATTTTTCTCTGGCTGCTAGCTTATTTTTGTATGCCCTTCTTATTTGTTCATATGTTCTTATCTATCCATTAACTTCTACAATCGAGAAAAATGAAAAAGCAAATTGTTAGCAACAGTACGATCAATTGAGATGAATACAGCAGAACAAAATGAATAAAATTTATGAGTAAACAATTCATGAACAATTGGTTAAGGATGCGAGAAAGACCTATAAACCCAAAAAGAGAGGACAGCGACTGCGGTTGCCCTCAAATAAAACAGTCATCGATAAAACGTGAAACGTTATGGGAGAAAGGAAGAAAAAAATTGGAGATATAAGGATTTTAGGAATTTACATCTTGTTGACAATCCTCTGCCGAGATTCAGGTTGCAGTTGAGTCCTCCAATCACCCGTATCCATGGTCGGTTCACTGCCGCCTTGAGCTGGCCTCCAGTTATTGTTATCCATACCACTCACTGAATCAATCAATCAATCAAAAGATTTTGCTATCTATCAGTGACGAATGATAATCAAACATGTAGTCAACAAAACAAAATGAGATAAAATAAAAAAATCAAACCCTATTAGAGGAGGAACTACTGACGGAGGCTCAAGGTGCAGTCGGATCTAAAGAAGATGAGGACAAAGGCAAGGCAACGACGAAGCCGAGCGATCACGACTGTACAAAAACGAGGTTTGTTCAAGATTTAACTTTTTCAAGAGGTACGCAATTTCAAATGATTGGGTCAAATTCAGTTTAAAATTATTTTTTATCCTACCACCGACTCAAAAATCCATTGTTTTCTTGCAATTGCTTTACTAGTTGAATTTCACCACAAAAATTACTGTTATAAAAGTAAATTCAGATTCCATCTGAATGGACCGGCGGCAAAGTCAAACCCAATCACCACAACGAGATGAAGAATCAAGACAACTGGAAGGATAACTTATTAGGTTTAAGATGGTAAAGAAATGAAATTCAAGGACGACAGAAGTAAATTTTTACAACATGGAATTAATTTTGAGAACGAGAAACGAACGGGGAAAGGAATCAAGACAAGCTAACAAGCGCTGATTCATTCAAATTTTGCAGTCAGACGTTGCTAGCCAGACAGAGTGGAGTTTAATTACTTTCGTTGAGAGGAAGAAGAAGTCTAGAAGAAGGGAAATTTACCTTCGATAAGAAACCTAGAGGGAGAGAGAAGAGCAAAGTTTGGTTGAGGATGACAACCAAAGAATGTATATGAATGAAATAAATAGATACGAAAGACCATTAAATTCCAAAAGCCATTGGGCTGAGTCAGAGCCTGTGCAGCGCTGATTCTCTGGCACGCACTCTCTCTGACTCGCTTAAAATAACAATTTACTACTGTTGACCTACTAAATCAAAAACAATAAGTCGTGATGACTA